CTTCTCTTAGACGAAATGTGGTATGAGGGAAGGGGGAAAGGGTAGTGGGGGAGGGGGGCAGTAGATAAGCAAAGCGAGGACGGCTGTTTTAGCTGCAGCACACTCTTTTCATTTCTTTTTTGGCAGCACAATTTAAGTCACTACACACTCTCTTTTGCAGGCTGAAAGATGTTGCCTTTTACGTCTAGGAAGTGGCGCCCCTCGCCCAGCGTCCTAGATGCGCTCTTCTAGTGGCGCCCAGCGCCGTAGACATGGCTCTCTACGGCGCTCAGCGCGCGCGCGCGCAGCTGCCAGGCTAGTGGCGCCTCCGTCTAGTGTGCTAGATGCAGTCATCCAGTGGCTCCTAGCACGGGTCCGCGGCTCAGCCTAGCGGCGCCCTAGAGAGTAGCGCCTGTCCGCGCGCCACACACGGAGTGCCTTGCGCCCTAGTGGCCATACTCTAGAGGCGCCCACTAATCGCCACGTCACGATAGGTGTCCCGCGAAGAACTAATGAGGGTCACAAGTGGCAGCATCCGGGGCCACAATGTGGTCGCGACCCAGGGTCGGGTAGGTGGGACAGACACACACTAAGTGTTCAAATAAGAAGCTTTGTGAAGTCTAATTTTTTAACTCACCGTACTGAAGATCTTGCACGACTAGATGTCAGCGATGCCCACCAGCAAGGGTGAAAGGTGGGCGTGCCCTCGGCGCGAGGCCCCGAGGAGGCCCCCGACGTCGGGGCTGCGAATTCGCCGGCCCAGCCCAGCGGCCCGCCGTCTGACCTGCTGCCCCCCTCCCCGCACCCTCCCGGGCCCCGAGCCCCCGAGCACATCGGCAACAGTGCAGCCTGCGCCGGCCTGCGCCAGAGCTCTGCAAAATCGCCTTCCGAGACCGACCGCGCCAGGCCGCCTCGGTCTGCGCAGGCCGCCTGCCAGGTGAGAGGTGAGGAAGGGAGCCTCCCCGCTGTCTCCGCTCCTCACCTCTCGCCTGGGCTGGCGGCGGCTGGTGGCCTGCGACAGACCGCGCGGCCTGGCGCGGTCGGTCTCGGAAGGCGATTTTGCAGAGCTCTGGCCTGCGCCCGACTGTCTGCCGCGCCCGGAGCGCGGGGTATCGACTCACAAGGGAACCCCGCCAAGTGTAAATTCCCGATTTTCATTCTACTTTGGGAAATTGTTGGTCTCAATATGTCATCGAAGGACACGTCAAAGATTTTTGCTTAAATTCATATTTAGGGGTCATTTTGGGCATTTGTTCAAAAAGCTGCTATTTCAATTATTTTTTAAAACTTTCAAGAATGCTTCCTAAGAGGTAACTCGTCAAATTGCGGCCCTCCGGGCGAAAATTTCGTCCGTTTTGCTCTATCTAAAGCCGTTTAGGCGCTACCGCCACGTTTAGGAGGGGAAATGTCCGGGAATCACTAGGGCTTAAGAGAAGCGGTTGTAAAAAGCAGTCCCACAAAAAATGTTATAAAACAAAAGTTAAAGAGCTTTCATTTTTCTACAACTTTTGTTTTATAACATTTTTT